TTACTTGACGACTTTGGTCTCTTGCTCTTCTCTTTCTCAGTTGAAAGTGGAGAGTCGCACAAAGGGCTTGTGCTCTTGCTGGTCTTGGAGGAATCTGAGTAGACGGTAAGCTCAAATGAGTTGTGCACATAATGACAACAGCCATTACTGAGTGAGAACTAACTCACTTGTTCCATTTTCATCTTTCCTACGTTTGACTTCCTGACTGGCCTCGTGGTCATTGATAACATGGTCCTGACAATAAATTAATAGGGCACAGTTAATGACGACTTGAGATTTAAAAAAGTAAAAAAAAAAAACAGCAACAACACTGACTCTTTTCCTCTCTTTACGATCTTTTTCTTCTTTCTTCTCTTTCATTCGTCCTGGTGAGTCTTTCTTCTCTGGCTCCCTCTCTCTGCTCTTGGATCGGTCGACAGAATTGTAGTTGACAGGGTTCTATAGTGGCATTTTAAGTAACAAAAACAACAAAGATAAACACTATGATTTTTGAAAATATAGTATGGGGACAATACAATGAAAATTATACACATAACACTACGAAACAGGAAAGGACATTTATAATTCTGTAAAATTCTTTTTCTGACAATGTAATATTGTCTATACTAAAAAGCAGCTAAAGCTATATGAACCATATTAAATAGTCACAGCTCAGAGGAGGTGGTAGAAAGCCATTCATACCTTGGTTGTGGACTCCTTGAGTTCGGTGCTATTGTCCTGTAGGGATGAATGGAGATGACACATGAGCTGGGAGGGGGTGGGGTGGGTGGACAGCAGTAGAGTCGAAGGGGTTGGGGGGGAAAAGGGAGCTGGTGCTGGTCAGATCAGCAGCAAGCCTCTCCCCTGACCTCTGACCTTTAAGGACTGAGTTTTTTTACAATGTTATTACAAAAGGAGATGTCAACATGTGGAATGTATTTACTAAAATAGCCCTGAGATAATAAATTACTGTGTATTATATTTTAAGTCTGATATTTCAGACAACATACATTATTATAAAAAACCTGCAGCACGTCTAAAGTGCAAGTGCTAAACTGTGCCTACAAGAGAGTACCTGTGGGTGCATTACTATTCAAATGTAAGTGTCAGCTACCCTACATACATTGTTCGACTGTTGCTGGAACTTACAGTTTAGGAATGATAAGACACTTGGAGCCTAGTTCTCTGGTGGAAGGGAAAAATAAGACCTATCACATGCTCTCAGTGGTTTGGGCAGCTCTCCAGGCGATTCAGGCTGTGCCCACACTCCCCCTTTTCTCCATCTGTGTAGGGTCAGGTATTTGGACCATTGGATGATTGTAAAACTGCAACATTCTCGGCTGCTCTCATCTGCTTGGAAATCCCATTCTCACTGCTTCCTTGGAGGTAGGTGTGACTGTCGATAAACGGCTGATGTTGGTGGTGGTGAGCTCAAGGGACCACTTCGGACTTGAATTTGAAGTACTGCAGGCCATAGCAACAAGCCAAAAAAAGGAGTGACGACTGAGCAGCAGCACAGATGCTCTGGACACCAGGCAACAATTGGACAAACATCCTCTGACACTTCTTGATCAGAAAATGGAGGGAAAAATCCACTGTTTTAAGTTGGAACTCTTCAACTTGCAGAAAAAGGACTAAACTAAAAATGACAGGCACTTTCTTAAGTATAAAAATACAGCTTCCAAAAATGTGAACAAAGGAAAAAGCCAACTCCCACAATATGGAAAGAGAAAAATCCACAGGAACGTACTTGAAAGAATATGTAGAAATTTTTTTTTAAAAGGCACACCGAAAACTTTTGTTGATACAAAAATAGAAATATTTCGATATGAAAATACTCAATATATACAATATTTTCTTGACTAAGTCCTGAAGGGTGTCCACCCTTTCTGTGAAACTTAATGCTGATGTCCATGGTATAATCTCCTGTGAATACAGGTCGGGATCCAGACACTTGCAGAAAAAAAAAATAAAAAATCCTCCTCAGTTTTCTTCAAAGCTGCTGGATTGCGTAACGGCAGGGAAGCTCCGGCAGACAGAGTAGAAATGGGCACAGCCTTCCTCAAGCCATACTAACCTTAACAGACGAGGAGTGGGATGGAGAGGAGTGGCTATCAAGCTTTCTTCTTTTGTGATCTTAAAACAGACAATTTATGTTTTAGAAAATGCAAATCATGAATATAGTAATAAAGATGAAAAAGTTCCTTACCCCTTTCAGATTCAGCCGACTCAGACCTAGGAACTGGCGTTTTGAGTGAGGTTGCTGCAGTGCTGCGGTCTCTCTCCTTACTCTTGGACTCCCTGGGCGCGTCAGGTTCTCCATTACCGGCCTTGGCCTTGTCGTCTTTGGCATTCTTGTCCTCGGTCTTGATGCGCTCAGCCTTGGGGGTCTTCTCCTTACCCTCGCGTGTGGCCCGCTCCTCTTTTCCTGTGCGCTCGTCCCTGTGCTTCTCTCGCCTCAGCTCGCTCTTCAGCTCCGGAGTGTTGGCTGGAGTCTTCTCCTTCTTCTCCTTCTTCTCTTTCCCGCTCTTTTCTTTGTCATCTTTCACTCCTTTAGTGCTGAAATAAGAGATTTGTCAGTTTTAGTATAATAAATTTAATTTAAATGCATTCATATTTAGAAGGTCAGAGGTATGTACCTATTCAGAGCACCATTTCCATTGCTGGTGGTCACTTTGGCCGCTGTACTGTTGGCTTTGCTGACTGGTTTTGTGGTCCCCTGAGATTTCTCTTTGCCTCGTTCTGTATATAAACCAAAGTATAATTGACTATACTGTTACATATTCATAGACTTAAAAAGTACACACAACTCTGACCTCCTTCCTCGGATGCCCCATCATCGGTCTTGTTTGTGCTGGTAGCAGTTTTTCCAGAGCCTCCTGGACCGTTCTGTTGACTGGCTGCGGTAGCACGTGCTGGCTGCTCTTTGTGATGAAACTCATTTTCAGGGACCATGTGCGACTTCTGGCTTTTCAATCGACCTGAATAACTGTCAGATGCAACAAAAGGTTTATACAAAGCAAACCACGAGGATAATGTCAACATTAGGATTAGTCTGATTATTTTAAGCTCAAGAAACCAGGCCAGGTTGTGAGCCATTTCTACTGTCAATATAGGAGTTAAAGAAAATTGGTGTTGGCATAAGTACTTAATATATGAATTTATATAGCAGAACCTATATAGATGAACCTATATGGCAGAACACAAATGCTAAATCATATAATGATAGAAATAAACAAGGAAAAATCAAAAAGAGAAAGCATGTTAAAAAAGGTAATTCATATAATGCTCCATAAAGAGCTGCTCAGCACACAATGCTGTTACCCCATTGCTAAGGCATAAAGGTCTGGCCTCTTATCCTTCTCTTCAAGACAGATCTTGTGAACACGACACTCCAAAGCTTGGCCTAGGTTCAGGACTTTTGGGTAGCAAGGCAAGATTTTGGTGAGCACAATAAGAATATTCCTAATGTGCGTATAGTCTCCCGTCTCCAAGCAGTGAACTGAAGCCTAAGAGAAAATCATAATGTAAATCAAATTAGACTGAAATTTAGATTCAATTTAAGTACTAGGAAGTAACTCACTTTCGTCAGCATATAGTGCCATTTGTGCACCACGTGTCTAAAGTTCTCATAGTCCAGCTGGTCTGCTTTGTGTCCTCCATCAAAACCCGTTGATCTGAAGATAGTTACGAAGCCAGGGTAGTTGCTACACTCCTAAATCCACACAAAATAATACATACATGTTTGCCAACACAAATAAATAAAGGAAAAAAGGACAAAAAAATAAAATGAAATAATAAAGTAAACCTTTTCATAGACAGCCCGGTCACTATGCCAGCGGGTCACAGTCTCCAACATGCAGCACAGGAAGCGCCCAAAGCGGTGAGACTCATTCTCTGTACAGCTAGCCACTGTATAGATGATGGCTGAAAAAACCTACAAAACAGTTGCACATTATAATAATTTCAATAAGTGTATACGTTCTTGTGTGCATGCTTGACATACCCTGTCATAGCATAGGAGGGTGCAGAAGTTGGGCGTCTTTTGCTGGTGAATCAGTTCAACAAAGTGTGCACAGTAAACGGCATCAATGGATGAGAAGATGCAACGTGGAAATAGGCAGAGTTGCAGGAATTTTGTTATCGTCTCATTCTTTGTTGATTCTAATGAAACAGGATAAACATCCTGGTGACATCAACTTTCAAAGTAGATTGACTGTTATATCATTTACATTAAGAGCATAAGAGTGCTATAAAGAACACTATAATATTTACAAGATTAGTCTCAATTTTGAAATGTATGTGAACACTTACTTGCTAATAACCAGTTATCTTTCTCTAGTTTGAGACGATGGAGCACTCTTTGAACATGTTCAGCCTGCTTCTTCTCTTCCTCTTGCAATTTCTCTTGCAATGCTGTACAGCGTTCCTTCTCCTTCTTTTTCTTATTTAGCGGCTACATAAAAGTACAGCCATCATCAGTGTCCATAACTTATTGCACCAAAAAAAGGGCTCTCATTCTGGAGCAAAACAGTTGCTGAAACTCACAATTTCAGGGTTATCCTCAATGGCTTTAATCTGAGCTTTGAGCTTATTGACCTCACGCTCATAAGCAGAATGTGGCACAGCCAGGTCGTACATAGTGAGGGACCAGAACGTCACGTAGAAATTAGGGCGCATATCTTCCCACACTCGAGTGGGGTGGAGTGACACCACTGCCTCGTGAACTGGGTTCATTACCTGTTCACAGGCTGCCACATATTTGTGTACCTTTTGCTGCTGACGGTTGCCCTTCTCTGCTTTCTTTAGTTCGTCATACTTGGACTGTAAAGAAGGTTACATTACTTAATCTGCAAATTACATATTGAAAAGATTGTTTTTTAACTCACCACTATGTGATGAGCATACATGGGCCTAGACAGAAAAAACGCAGCATCGTGTGGGGTGTGGAACTGGTTGCATAGAACATCAATAGGAGGAACACGTTTAATATAGTCTTCAGTGCTGAGGTTGGAGGCCAAAAAGCCACCAAATTGCACCAATGTGTCGTGACACTGCATAAACAGAAGCCAAGTTCAGTAAGACAGTGTTTAGGTAGTAATTTGATCAATTAAATTATGATGTACCTGATCATAGAGATGACCAACAAGTTTCAAGTGGTTCTCTCCACCTTCAAGAAAAACAACACCATTGCGTTGTTGCGCCATGAGTAAACACAGAGGTAACGCCAAATCATGTTCAAGCAGAGCATCCTTTAGACGTTGTGATGATTTCTTTGTATTTCTTATCTGCCCAAAATAGCCTCCCTGTGAACAACCAAAGGGAACGTAAGTGTAAGTAACATTTTTATGAAAATCTATCAATAGCATTAGGTCTGTACCTCAGCCTTTAGTTGCTCTCCTCCCGTCATGGCCTCCATCTGCTCTGCTGTCATCTCATCTGTAATCTCAATCCCAGCCATTTTCTGGACCACTTCTTTTAGGATCAACAGGTCAAAACTAAAGCCAAAAAAAAAAATCAATACTTGTTTGAATAGGCATTTGCTGAAATTTAATCATTCTGTATAATAAACAACTTACCTTTTTCCTGCCTTGAGCTGATTGGTCACATACTGAAGAAGCCCCGCCAACTCAATTGGGTACTTCCTGAACACAGCCCCACAAAGACTTGCCAAACCTAGAAATACATAGAAAAAAAAAAGATTAGATCAAAATATTAGTATTTTATAACAATTTGATTTATAGGGAATTGAGCATCTTACTCTGTAGCCAGGACGAGATGGTAGTGTCATCATGCTTCATCTTTTCCTTCTCAGGATTAGCAAGAGCCTCTATTATGCAATCTGAATACAGAGTTAGGGATGTATTTATATAGTAACAACACATTTCAATGACACATAATAGCCATATAACAAAAAAGCAGGATACAGGCCAGGACGTCATAATTAAGTGATGTGAGGTATTTTAATGAGTCGACAACTGGGACAATAAGGTTGTCGTACCACTGAATCTGAGACAACATCTGAAAAAGTATTTAAAAAGTTCATGCTTGTTAATTTCAGGGAATAAGTATATCAATATATCAAATTTTAATATTCCACTCACATAATCAAAGACAATCGTGGGATTGCTATGGCTCAACTTGCCAATCTGTCTTCCAGACTGCTTCACATTCTCTTTGGTCAGTCGCCTACAAAGAGCAAATACACACATTCAATAAGATATTCATTCATATACAAGAGGACATTCAAAAAGACAAGTATTGGGTTCGGTCAACAAGCATCCACCTTTCATGACTGAGTAATTTGCTTGAAAAATACACATTTTACCATTAAAATGTGATTTCAACACTCCATACTTACTTCATTATGTATCGGGCCCTTTCGATGGTCTGAGCTTTCACCTTGACCAACAGTGGATGGCTTAAATAAGTCTCATTCTTCCATTGTCCATATAATCGATACCTACAGATTATAAAAAGGATTAGTATCATGTAGGCTTAAAATTTTAGAAAACACAACAAATTCATGTCAAAACATATTCAGCATAACAGAGAATGCTTCTCACCTGTGCTGGTACGGGAACAATTTAAAAAGACCCCATAGTTCTTCTGACATGCAAGCATTGCACTCCATCAGGGACAGAGATGGCAGGAGCACCTGGTCTGCAATGCTGAGAAAACAACTAAGGAGTATTTCCTGTAATTAAAACAAAGCAAATAATATACATAACATTATGTTTCTTTAAGATTAAATAGAGTAAAATCAACATCCCCCAAAGCAAAACTAAAAAACTCACCAACTTCTCTTTGTCAGATTTGACATCACTTTGATACTATAAAACAAAATGTTTAATGTTAGTGTAAACCAAAATGTTAATGTGAACCAACCTAACATATCTGCAGAAGAAAGATACCTCTTTCATGAAACCTTTGCCTAAGCGTACTATTTTTGCAAAGAGGATCGGGTCGTGTGACAGGTGAGGACCCAGATAACCGAGCATGCTGAATGTGTCTCGCCGTAGGTCTTCAAAGTTCTCAGCAGGACGGGGGGCACGCTTGTTCCTCAGTGGCTGCATCACACACGCCCGGGCTCCTTTGGGAACACCCGCCCTATGTGGTCATTAAAAAAAAAAAAAAAGCCAATAAAATACAAGTTTGAAATATAGAATATATTGTGTCTAGTGTTACAGTTATAGTTACATACCTTCTGTAGAGTGGCTCTACAGTTAGGTGAACAAGCTGGCAAAGTGCCAAAGCAATGGCCTTGTGAGAAGTAGCATAGAAAGAAGGCATCTGGTCCATAATACACTGGGCATGGTGCCAGTCTCCAATTTTTAGTAATGCTTCTAACAGACCAAGCTTCTGGTTGTCAGGTGGCTGTTGGCACAAAACATGTTATAAGTATTTTTATTTAATTATTATTTTCAGTATCATTAATGCATATGCATTAAAAAGCCTCCATAATAAACAGTTCATTCAGATGTGTATTTTCAATGCTTAACCTTTTCATTCTTGTCATCATCTTTGTCTTTGTCCTTGTCCTTGTCCTTATCATCATTCTTCTCTGAAGGGAGGACAACCATCACAAGCTTGCGGGCAGTTTGTTTGGCTTCTGAGATGTCTCGCTTATATTCCTCTATAATTGCAGCATCTACTGGCATAAGCTAGTTTGACAAAAGAGGTAGTATGGTCAGACACACAGATGTCTGAAGCAAAACAGAACAGAAAAAGAAATTCTCACAAATCAGTGTTACTGTATATCAGCCTTACATGTACATAGAGATCTTCGAGCTGTATTAGATTATGGTTCAGTAAAGCAGCAGCAATGTGATAAAGTGACTTGGGCGTTTCCTCATTAGGCTCCTGGAAGCAGAAATTTTATTCAATCAAAAAGCAAAGCATGATGATTTTTTTTGTTACTACTAGTTTCTGTATAGAGGTTTTTTTTTTAAAATAGGCCTTACCTGATAAAATTTAAATTTAAATCCCAGAATGTGGCACAGAGTGAGGGGCTCACACATGTATGACTTGATGAGTGACAAGAAAAACTCATCCTGGTCTGAGCGACTCTCATAAACCTCTAGAATAATATCTAAAACTCGATTTGGATCCAAATTAAAGCACCCTACAGAAAGAAAAAAAGTAATTAGGAAGATAACCACAACCGCACACAAACTTGATGTTTCGAGGCAGGTGAGAGAATTGAATAGTGCAAGTAATTTTCATCTACCTCTAACACAATTATTTAGTTTTATCTATTTTTTACTACAAAGAAAATAAAGTGTTGCCTTCTGAACAGTACTAATGTGTATATGTATTTGAACCAGTCTGAATAAACAAAAGAACAATTTCACCAACCTATAAGAGACTTGATGCTTTCCAGAACAATGTGGCTAGTGATGTTGCCTGAAAGGTCTTGGCCCAACTCTGTTATTAGTTTGGCATAGCCCTCATTTTCTTCTCTCAGCAAGTTGAACTTCTGTTGCTTGTAGCTGGAAAAATGGAATACAGTTATAGGGGAAAAAAATCCAAGGGGATTTTTATTTTATTTTTTTTAAATTCATAACAAATGTCAAGCTTACAAAAGTTTAGTCTTGATTTTTACAATCTTTTGATTAAACTGATGTGCCTGTTTTATTAGTCCAAGAGATTCAAGGGTTTCTGGGTCAAGTCTTTCTTTGAGAATGACTTCAGGAACAAATATCTGAAAAAAAAAAAACTTTATTAACAAGCCCTATTACAAAATTATTATAGCTGTAATGAACTAATCTGATCCCTTACCAAACAAGCTACTGCTAGTTGTGTGTAGTGTTCACGTTTGTTCTTTTCTTCAAGTGCACTCGTCTCCAAGTCTGTGACAAAAACATAAAAGTTTATTCCACAATATTTTTATACAGTTGTGATAATTCACTATACAAAAACAAAACAAAACATAAATTAAAAATGATTTTACCCAAAATACTGAAAACATCTGCTAAAATTGATGGCATGTCACCTCTGAGTTCCTAAAGTCAACAGAAAAGTTTAATATAATATCTGTCAGAAAAAAAAAATGCTGTTAATAAAGATTTTTTTTTTAATTACGATAATTTCGCCAAGAACAGTAGCAACAAGATCCACTTTAAGATTGCCCTGTATAACCTGAGAGCAGAGCTCGTATAAGGCCGCCTGAATGTCTGCAGAAGACAAAACACACAAACATTAAAGTTGCTTGAAAACCAAAACATTATTTTGTAAAGTAAATTATACCTTTGATTTCACTTCCATGATTTATTTTCTCTGTAAGTTCTTTGCAGAGTTGTACACTAAAGAAAGAAATGCATTTAATTTTAATACATTTATAATGGACAGTCAGTCAAAACATCTGTGAGAGTTTGCCAATCTTAAACAAGTTATGGCATTTAGCTACAGATTTCTACACATAATTTGATCATCAGACAATACTATATTACATTGCTGTGTATATAAACACTTCATAATGGCATATATTGAGCATTGACACAGTAGCAAATACCAACAAATGGCTTTAAGTGCCAAAACAGATCATTTCCCTCCAGTTACTTTTAGCCAAAAGTAATTGCAACGCAGATGCTGGATGCTAACTCATGTTATTCCGAGGCGTTTTTTCATTTAAGTTAATCAGTCACATGTTGCATATCAAAACGTGCATGTTTTAAATCACAGCGAAAGGACTATCCAAACAAATTATTATAAAAGTTATTCACTAAAGATCCATGTTTACAATTGAGGCTGTAGTAGCTAGTTAGCACCTAGCTAATAGCAGCCAATAGCAGCAAATATGCTACAATTTGCTAACGATGCTAAATCGATAAATCTACAATTTTCTCTGGATTTAGTCAGTGGATTCGCTATTACCAATGGATCCAGTGTCTATATATCTAAACAAATTTACAGAAATTTGAATAAAAACACAAGGCGATCAATATCCCTAAGACTTTTAAGCTAGCATTAGCAGTCAACGGCACGCTTCTTCAATGTGAATCTTCTACGTCGAAACAGTAGACGCTCGATACAGTTTAGAATTGAAAGGAAATATTGAACTTAATGTTTGAATATGTACTCACAACTCATGCTTTCCTGATTTTTCCCAGTTTTTGATCCATTCAGCAGGGAGGGTAAGTGTCGCCATCTTCCATACACACAGCCCGGATGTGTCTCGGCTTACGGCGCACAGAGGGTCAAATGTGGCTAGCTCACTGTTAGCGCTGTGTGACTGCGCTGGAGGAACCGGTGTATCTACAATACAACGGCTTCGTCAACATTACTTACACTTAGTTCTATTTTGTCATTGGTAAATATATAATACTGGACATGATGGTGCTGATTTTTGTCACTGAGAAGATGGTGTTGTCTTTCTTAGATTCCCCCCATATCCCCATGCTTTGCACCTTGACATAAGAGGAAGACAACCTGTAATAATCTGTCTATTAGTGATAAGCAATGCGTAAATCATAGCCTAAATAATCTATCTGCCTGATACAGTTTGCCATTATAGGCTTACACAACATATAAAAATAATCAAAGATACATCACACCTGCATCAAGATCATTTAGATGAGACGAGACAACAAAGGCCCAATATAACAATTTCACTTGTGTGATACAATAGTTAATCTGAATCAAACAATTAGATCTCGAATTGTAATCCGTCTTGCAAATCAATTTTGTTATTATCTTATTAGACTGTAGTTTCTTTTTAGAAGTAAAGTACTTTGATGATTTATAAAACAGCTAATAAAACATAAGACAAAACCTACATTAACCTAAAGCTATGTCTAAAAAACATGGGGAGAACAAGAAAAAAAGAAGAAAAAGAAAGAAACGAGAAAAGACTCATACGACAGACCTACTTATTTTAATTATATAAGCCTACAGTCTATATTTGAGCTATAGCTTACATATAGGTACTGTTTCTGAATTAACTAATTTATACAATCCATCCAAACATTCAAGAACTTTGCTGAACACATCATCCAAACCAAATGACAAATGTTCTCGACTTGATGCTGTGGGACACAGGTGTCAAACATACGGCCCGGGGGCCAGATCCGGCCCTCCAAAACCTTTAATCTGGCCCTTGGCTGATTTTTTACGAAAATATTTTAATAATATTTTCTATTTAAATATTGGTAATTTTCTGTGGTGTTTATCACAGCAGCATCTCCAGCATCTCAGAGCAACACAAATGAAGACTTGTCTCTTTCCAAACGCTCTTAAAGGACGATTGTTTTGACTGTTGACCGTGACACCCTCATCAGAAAAATGTCCAAAATGAGAAAAGTGGAGCCAAGTGCAGGATTTTCCAAGAAAAACTGACTTATTCCTATTTGCATACAAGTTCATGTTAAGACTTTGTGTTGAAATTGCATTTTTCTTAAAGTTTCAGGTTGTTCCTAATATAATATTTTGTAAAAGAAAGAGTTCATCAATTAAAAAAGATTTCTGTAATAGATTTGTGTTTCTCTGCACAAATATTTGAACTTATTGTTATTTTGGGGTTTATATGACATGAGTTTTCTGATCTGGCCCCTTTGGGATCAAAGTAGGTTGGATACGGCCCCCGGACCAAAATGAGTTTGACACCCCTGCTGTAGGACATGGTGGTGGTAACTTGCAATTCTTGCATGTAACTTGTACTCCACCTACTGACCGAATCATGTTTTGCAGTAAAAGAGCTTAATGCCACCTACTTCTCAGAGGGCATGCCCTATCTCTGACACCACAAATAATTATTCTTAACAACAAAAACACTGGCTGACAAGTTTATGTTTTCAATTGGTGTTGATTATCCAACATACCCTATCTTTAACTAATAAAGCTTAATAAAAATCAGAGTCATTGTTATTATTATTAAAATGTATTTCAAGTGATGCATTCACAGTAGTTTGAGCTGTCGTTCAGATCTTCAGTCTTGTTAACTGTCAATACAAAAGCAATAACCTTACCGCTACTTACAGCATTGATATTTTATTGTTTCATTATATATTCTTTTAAAGCCACCCACAGTTAGTAAATTTGACAAAATTTCTAATAAACATTTTTTCCCGTCACATACTTGTAATGTGCAAATACAACTAGGCCTACATCTTCAGAAGGCTAATTTTGTGCACAGAAAACATGAGCGTCACATGGGAATCAAAGAGATGGGTTGTTTCTGTAGAAGAGTCATATTTTACACAAACTCATTGAAGAAGCTGTTTACAGTTCCTTCAGGCGTCTCCTCCAAAGACTGGTGTTCACAGTAGGATGGCACCATCAGAAGATCTGGCTCCTTGATTTCATTCTCAACTTCCATGGTACTGTACATAAATAATAATGGCAGCATTATTTTAAACAAAATGATCAAACTAAATTTAAAATTGTGGATAATTGTTGACTGACCTAAACAAAAAGGATGTGGAGTCTGTAGAGTACAGTGTGGTCACAGGCAAACAGCCCATAGTCACAAACATGCTAAAGGTACCTATAGAGGATAAGCAATATATATATTAGATATAGATTGTCAGAGTTGTGCTCTAATGCATTGTTCATTTCATTCACTTCTTTGTCAGTCACCTTTGACATTATGCATTGATCCTGTCCACATATTCACTTTCAGACCCTCTCCTTCGATGCTTGCACTGCCAGTGGTGACTGTGGTACAAAACTTTGCATCATCTGGGATATCCAGAGGGTGATCAACAGAATGCAGTGACTTCTTCTCACAGCTTTGGTTCTTGGCATCTATTTCATAGAATACACCCTGTAATACAAACGAACCATGACTCAAAGACTTATTCAAGGGTAATTACTGCTCTGGTCTAAGTGGTTAATCTGAACTGATTTAATAGGGTTTTTTTTCACAATTTTTCAAAAAGAATAAAAAAAAAAAAAAAAAAACTTGAATAAAATGTTTTAACATTTTTCACAATCATAAAACGACTATAATCAAGGCAGGCTTTTAATCAATCCCATTTAAACACAAATAAAATTAATTCCTCTGACCTCTGCATGCTCAACACAACAAAGGAAAACTGATGGACTGGCTGTAAATCTCTTGATTCAAAAGACCTAAGATGATCATTGGCTATAAGAAATTATTGGATTTCAATTCTTCGAAAATGTTTTTAACTACACCACTAACTCAGAAAGAGGTCCTGCAAGTAAGTCCTGTTATGTTAGACTTGATGTGGATGATTTTCTAACCAGTATTTAACATTTGATTGTTCAGAATCAAACAGCACTTACTTTGTCAAAAAACATGAGCAAATCCAAACCCAAAGAACTGTTTGTGGGGTGGCTCTCATTGGATCTGAACCGTAGTTTCTTTCCTGTTGAATCATAGGTAAATGTCCCATGTGTTTTTATTTCACCCTTGAGCGACATCTGGTTGAGAGAAAACTATAGATGATACAAATGATGCAACATGATATTTCTGTACATTGTGAGTGCTTCTGAATAGCTAACTTACCACTGACATCTGTCCTGTCATGTTGGGTGAGTCTGAAAAAGAAGAGCATAAGTTAATTGCACTCAGCACAACACTGTGGATCAGAATTAGTCTGTTACATACGGCATGGATGGGTGTGGTGATCTGCATTAGTGGCTGTCAAGCACACAGTAAAGACAAGAGTAAGAGTTGCAAACATGTTCCCTATTTGCAGATGCCAAATCAACAGATCACCCAGATGATCCTAAACCCAGTGAGGCTGAAGCTAGAGACACTTTTATAGGAACACTGGGCTTGTATAACCCGACCCATGAATGATAATGGACCCTTGGTGTCTGAAACCAAGCTGAGTAAACAGCATCCCTCTTAGCTGGTGGTAAACTCAGGCACAATATTTTTATAAACTGATTTCTTCAAGTGACTCCACAGCTGTCCTTAATTGTACTTTCATAGAACCCCAATTGACCCCGTTATTGTCGGATATACTATTTAAATACTATGTATACTATATCCATGGTTGTACAGTGAGATTTCTGCCATCTCCAAGCCTAGTAAAAAGAAAAAGTCTTTGTCAAAAAACTATGTCAAATCAATATGTGAGAAGGTGTGACTTTTACTGTTGTTTATGGTTGTTTAATTAAATTTAAATGATTTTTGTATAGTCCAAAATCACAACAGCAATCGCCTCACAGGTCTTAACAAAATTGTTGATATAACAAAGAGAAAGTTACAAAATCTAAAAGTGAAACAATCATTGTAACAGACAAGCAAATTAAGCAACATTCCCAAGGGTGGTTCCCAACTGTTTCTGTTGCAACCCCTTATGGTTTGTCTCACCATAGAGTGCCCCCATAAGTCGGGTACTATGCGAATAAATCTGTCATTTGTTACTATTATACTTTAGTTTTAGTGATATTGATGTCCAAAATCATCAACATTAGTGTAGTGTATATCAGCTCTGATTTTAAATGTAAGCTTTGAACTTGAGGTGTCTGTGACACTGTTCATCCAACTATAATAATCTAAAATCTCTTAGAGTTCAGAGCAGGTCACACAGCTGGCTTGTACTCATTGCCACAGCAAACAAACAACTTGTGTTTTGGTTTGCTATGACTACGTCATGCTATACGGTATATTTAACTTTTTCAAGTCTATACAAAGTGATGTATTTGTTATAGAGTCAAGTTTAATGCTGCAGCTTTTGAAACTCATATGTTTATTACAGGCAACAATAAAGTGTGATGTTAAAGCTGCCATCTGTAATTAGCGACCTGTTGCATTCTCACATTACACCACTAAATGGTATCTACTTTGTCATTTATTCATTCACTAATTTATGTTTTTTAAACACTGTAGCCTACACATAGCTCACTTCAAATAGGAAGTTGAGATGCATTTCCTTCCTGAAATTTATTGAAATTCACTGAAGTTTGTCTGAAACCATGAATGAGAAGCAGACTGAAAGCTTGTAGAGACTTGTGCATGTGAAGGAGGAAGTTTTGACAAGGGAAGACCTTACAATTCTCATTTAGAAGAAAAGGTCACACACTTGTCTGTCTGTGAGTCACCCATTAAGTTTCTGAAATGATCAAACACTGAGAATGTGGGAAGGGGACACTATGTACACTGGCACTAAACATGGGTGGCCGTTTGGATAGTTAACATATTTTCTATTGCTGCAATTGTACATTAATGTTATTGTTGTCAAGATCTAATCATTATACAAACTGTTCACCATTTACATTCACCTCTGTTGTAAATGATCAAATGATCAACAATTTGAGAATGACTGAAGTCCAAGTTCATTTTACTGTATTTTTAACTTTGATCATATTTATCACATATTTGCAGCAACGTGGTTCAAGATGCTGATGTGAAGTTTGCATGTGTTTCATTATGTTGTTTGGGTGGTCTCCTCCAGCTAAGGTATGTCCAGCCAAGCTTAAGATCTGAAGGTGAGTCCCCAGGCACCAACTGTTCTTGACAGGTTATCCCAGAAGCATTGAAGGATGGTCAAATACAGTGGAATAGAGTGGAAAAATAGAGTGGAATAATAAACACTTTTATCACAACTCTAACAAATATAACATGGGCTGTTGGAACATAACTGATCCTTCAGTCACGATAATATATCTCAATATTCTGACAAATGAAACATGAAAAATATGTTAATTTACAGCTTCAGAGTTACACAGCAGGAAACCCACTTTCACTGTGAATGTGTGACCATTGAACTCACTGAGGCTTTCCCTGCATGTGATAAGCTGCTGTTTCCTACAGTGAGTAGTGTCGTGCTGAAGTGAAACTGTTTCAACAACCACAAAGAGGTAGGTGGAAACCCTCCCACTCTCTGTTGCTACGATAGGAATTTACATAAACTTTATTCAAATGTTCAGCTGTTTTGAAATGTGTACAAAAGAACTTACCTCAAGTTGCCAGTTTCATAGAAAAGTAATGTTTTTGCTCAAAGTTTCACTCACTGTTCACTGTTACTGTGGCATGTGCCAACAAATTTTCACAAACAAGTACAGACAGATGATCGTAGTTTCTTCAGTTCCATAATAACTGTGTGGAATGACTTACTGGAATTTACACCAAGCAGGACACTTTTCATTAGGAAACACTTTTATTTAAAACCAAATAAAATAAACTGTATGTAAGAGCACATTTTCAACAATACACTGTCTTTACTACTCTATATTATTAATAGATAACCAAGCAATTATATGTTGCTGTTTTACTACACAGAAGGCAACAAACAACAACACACCTCAACACATCATGGTTTTTGAATGAATGATAAGTCATCCACTTGCAATGTCAAGTTTTTCTTATATTGAAAATACCCTCAGTGCAAGGTTGATTTTATTCAGAAAACTGTACCAGTTTTTACACCAGTACAAAACATAAAGCCTTTAAAAGTAAAAACTTTAGTATACTATTAAATTACTCTTTCCTGAGATCTGCTGTGAAGATCGTACCATGTGCATCATTTTATTTAAAATGATGCTCAGCCACATTCACTGGTACATTATGGATAATATAAATGATGCTCATAAAAAGTAAAGTCTGGACATTTATATTGCAAAAATTAGCCATATCAGCTTCAACCATCACATATATTCAAACTCATCTCACACACCAAGTTATGAAAAGCATACATCTTGAGACTTCCTCGAAACAAACATTGTGTTTTTCATACTATTTTCATTTCTAAATTTCAATTGATAAAAACATTATTACTATAACATTTATGTAAGAGTGTGTTTTCAGATCAGATGGTTCATGTACAAAATCATGACCTAATATGTAGGTGTTGTTACATAAGGACTTCCTCAGTCAACATGAGTGGTAGAATCATAGAGACAGAAAGAAAAAAAAACTCCAAAACCTGGAAAATGAAAGCAAGACAACTGGAGTAAACCCCTAATATATAAACACTTCACACCAACACAGCACCATGAAACAACTGCTTTGCTCTGTACTTCAACAAGGTAAGCTCACTATTGTCAGTGAATGAATGGCTTATTATGATATACATGGATATTTTTCAGTTTGGACCTTAGACAACATATTGATGGTACTTGTTTTGTGTCATATTCAATCAATTATTATATAAATTTAAACATCATAACATACACTGTCAGTGTCTAACTGGGTGTATTCGGGGTGAGGGCAGGTTTGTTTATTGAGAAACATTTTGACACATGTTGCTTCACTTGTTTTGGTTGGTGTTTTTATCACTAGTTTGGGCTAACTACTTCAGATTAGATTAGGGTACTGTTGTTCATTGAATAAAAGATAATACAAGTTATAATTTATAATCTTTTTACATTTAGTTCTCTTTTGTATGCAGTAGGCCTTTTTGTAAATTGTGTAATACGTTCTCATTTTAGATCACATCACAAAATGAACCAAAATATTCTGCTTACAAATGCTGAATATTGAACTTTTTATGTGAAATAATAGAACTAAGTCGAGGAAGGAGGTGATCTTAATATGTTGTTTTACTTTTAAATGAAAGATGCAATGTTGGTGGAAAGGCTATACAATAATTTAAAATGCAGTTTTTACTTTGTAGCTACTGTTGTAATTTAACATTGGCATACATATACATAAGGGTTACAGCATGTTCCTTATGTTCTATTGTAAAATTACACATTTTCATTTGTTTGTAATTTTACTGAAAATAATGTTGTTTGGGCAGATGACTCTTTGGTGGCAGGCTCTTATCCTCTGCTTCTCTCTGAGCTGTGTCCACTGTCTCCCATCTGCTGTTCTCCACAACAAATACATCACTTCTTATCGACTCGCACAAGTCACAAGATGTAGAGTCCAGCAGCTGCTAATGAGATATGTAAGTCCTTCAACTCTTAATGGATTTATTACATTTTAACAACTAATTTACTCAATATATGTTGAACAGAAAGAAGAACAGTTGGGAACCAAAGACTACGAGAACAGGAGTGAGCATTTGAAAGACCTGCCATCACTCTCTACTGATTTCTACCACTGGCTAAAACTGACAGTAAGTACATGAACCTCTCAGACTGTAGTGACGACAGACAGAGAGAGATTATATTATTCTGTAAATGCAAACTAATCACCATCATTGATTAATACAAATATTGCATAGACTATTAGTAATAATATAATGCAGTACAACAATAGAGCAGAGGAGGTAATGTGACAGTAATGAGAGAGTTTGTAAACCACACACTGTTATGTGCTTGTCTCCAGGATGAGGAGCGACTGGGAGCAGCTCTCTCAGACACGCAGGCCTTCTGGAGCATGCTGCAGTGGAAGAGGGAGCAGATTAGATCTGAAGACAAACACAGCACTTTGCCTCAGAGCTTTCAACACATCGAGTGTGACATTCGGGATCTCATAACAAAAATCAACAAGCAGGTAGGCCCCCAAATCATTTATCAGAAATAAAACTAAACAACAGTACTATAACATGCAAGTAAAGTCTTTTAATTTAAATGAATTATGAATGTATTCAAACTTCATTCAGCGCCATCAAATCTGGGACTAAACTGGGACTAAACCTAGACTAGATTAGAACTAAATGAGTACTAGAATGGGACCAAACCATATCGATGTTAGAACTCAAAGCTGAACGAAAGCAGGGCAGTGTAACTGCCCCTCAATCAATAAAAACAATATAAAACAACTCCAACATTAGCTTCAACTGCAAATATACTTTTACTTATTTAACAGAAAGTATTTCACTCAAATGAGAGTGAAAGTACATTTTCAAAAATGTACTAATGGTACATTTACCCCAGAGTACACGTTATGCTTCCCATAATGGTACAATGTTAGTACATAAGCAATGAAAATTCTGGTGAGTCATATTGTCAGCTGTAATGCAGGTGTCTAGTTATGATATTAACTCATCACTTTCACTTATTCTCCTTGCTGTTATGGTGTGAGAAGCTCTGTCAGCCTTAACTCATTAAAATCATGAGACTTCCCCATAGTGAAACCAAGCTTACCTCAACTTCTAGTAATACTGAAACTCAACTAAATATGGACTAAATGAGGTTTATTTGAAACACACCGTAAAATGAATTTTGAAATAATTATTTAAATCTTTCAAACTTCCAGATTTTTGTCTTTGCCACTTTTTGCATAAATTTTCATGTCAAAGCCAACCATTTGTGAACAATCATTACCTGATTTACATCATACATGACTGTTAACATTTAATTTCAATAATCAGACAACTCCATTAATCAGATGATCAGATGATAAGATTTGTGATGTACATGTAAACAGAGCTGGTGTCTAATTACATCTAATCATTTCCCTTGTAGATGAACTACACTGGCTGCACTTCTACGAGACCACACACTACCAGAGGGCACAGAGCTGTTGTCCGTAGCAACAATCATACACAATGGGACAGTCGAGTGGAGGGGTACATCATCCTGAGAGATCTAGACCTGTACCTCACCAAACTTGCCCGGGACTTTCTCCTCCTGGCAACCAAAACAACTCCAACTCAAAGACAAACAGAAAAAGGCATCATGAAGTCTTAAGGGGGACAACCTTGACTAATTATAGAGAGGATTATATGGGGTATTTCCTAAGGTTTCAGTCATATTTAAAAAAAAACTGAGAGAACATTCCAACTTGTTGTGTTAAAAGCACTGAACTTTCCAGAATGTATTTTGTTATTTATGCTATTTATTTGTAATTTATTTATTGAAAAATGTATTTGTTACAATAAAGATTTACTGTTTATTACATGGATATTAATAAAGAGAAAGCATTGAAGCTGTGGCAACTTCATTAAAGTTATTTGTGAAAAACAGTGATGAGAAATATATCTTCTTTGCAACTGCGTGACAAAAGGACCTTTTGAGTGGCGGTAATCCACACAGAATGCTGCCTTGTGTTCCTTCATGTGTTATTGATGTAAGGGGCAGTCTGTTGACAGATATAAAAACATCACATATGATTTCTAATAAAAAAATATATATATATTTTTTTTTCATCCAATTTGAATTGACTTACCACCAGCAGATGTCCTCTTTTGCCTTTGACCACACTCAACTCAGAGCCCCTGGTAAAATCAATGAAGCCCTCTCTGCCACGAGCTATGACAAACCTTATGCTGCAAAAGATTTGAAATTAAATTAATTATTGTAATATTTACCTAAAGTACAGTAAACTTAAAAAAAGAGAGACTATAAGACTATATTCGGCCAAATGTAAAAAATGAACATTCAGATACTGTCCTCACATGAATTTATCAGTTTCAGATTATTTTTACAAAGACAAATATTCACAATGTGTCTTTTCAGATGATGTAACTGTTCCAGTTGGTGTTGGTACACAAAGACATGGTTTTATGGCAAATGTCAAAAAGGAAAAAGGTTATTTGATTTTATGAAGAGGCTAATCATTGGACCTGACCTGCCCGAGCTAATGTTCACGTAGTTGGTCTTGTTTGCCATCAGGGCTAGTTTTGTCACCAGTTCGATCACATGGGTGCAGTGCAACACTATGTCACCCTACAGAAACACAGACACAGTCACATTTTAAAGAAAGAACACCAAAAATAGTTTTATTTAGTGTTCCATTTTTACCTTCTGCTTCTTGTCCTCATTGGGCATGTGCAGGACAATCATCCCATCACTGAGGGCACTTACAGAGATGCCTGTTTGAAATGGACATTAACATTCACCATAACATTTACATAATGTCCATGTTGTCGTCAGTGTTGCGAACTAACATTATTGTAATCATATTCCATTGAACACACGTGTTTCTCACCCCTCAGAGCGCTGTAGTCGATTTTCTGTTTGATTTTGGTCCTGTCCACAAGCACAGCAAACGTGTTGGTTAGGAGCAGCTGTCGATGGCGACGCTTGAACCCTCTTCTGTCATATTTAACAACTGTCACACCGTACTGAAGAACATACAAGTGTTACACACACTCAACAGGATTATGTTTCAATGACTTAAGTAACTCACCTGTACTTTGTCATTACCAAGTGTCTGAACAACTTTGAGATTAATGTGTTCACGTTCTAATGAAACAAACAAACAAACAAACAAACAAAACAGTAAATGATGATAAAATTGCTGTTGCAAAAAAGCACTGTTTGCTTACCGAGCCTGGAGTCCAAAAACAGCCTCGGTACACTCATAGGATAGCTGTCCTTTTGATCCATAAACATCTCACTAGCTGCAACTTTCTGTGTCATCTGTACACAAAAATAAATATAAAAAATTATAAAGAACTATTTCCCTAATTAATTCACTTATATTTACTTGTTTTTTCCATTCAGGCTGGATGCTTCTGCAGTATTTTGTCACCATATTGCACAGGTGAAGCCTTTGTAAATGTTCAGAAGCCTGTCAATGAATAAAAAAAGGAAATAAGTTATAATACTTGTAAATTCAGGGTCAGGTGAGTTTGGTACCTATAGGTAGATTTGTTGAGCAGTATTAAGTTGACTAAATGTAAAAATGTAAAGAATATATCAGTGTCAGATTGGTTATTGTACCTCTATGAGTGAAGGAGGAGGTGTTGGCCAGTTTTTGTCCAAAACACTTTTGGGCAGGTTTTTGCTCAGCTTCATGAGAAAAGAGCGGCGTACGTGATCGATGAAATACTCATTTTCAGAACAGTAATCATTGTGACGGTAGATAAAACCTTTAATGAATCTGGCAACGTAAAATGTAAATGGCAAATTTACACAGAGCCAAAATATTTCTGATAATTCCAAATAAACACAGTTTATTTTACTTGCGTATCAAGTTGGCAGCTTCCCTTCGCCTCTTGGCCCGTCTTCGTGCCTTCATGCCTCGCCAGAAAGACTGGATCACAATCACTACAAATACACAAGCTTTGTTTAAATCTGATCCAGTCTATTAATACAGCTATTACACTACTGAAATGTGCTGTAATCTCTGAGTTATTTTGCCAACCTGCATGTCTGATGCGCTTGTATTTGGCTCTTTCCCTGTATCCTCTCCAAGATGTTTGCAGGGTCAAGACTATTATGACAAAAAAAAGATTATAATTTTATTTTATTTTTTTCCTGTTGTGACTTTTGTGATTGTTTCTACATTTTACTCACCAATCTCAGGCTTCTTTGCTTCCAAAGCATCTTCTGTGTTGAAGAGAGTTTTCGGAAAACGAATGAAGATTTTTGATCTGGAGAAACACAAATGACATTTTTTATTTGAGTAAGAGATGACATATATAATGTGTATTTTGACTACCTGCCGAGTTTATATTCTTCTTGTTTGTAGCCTAGATGGTTCACCAGTGTAGATACCCCATCAGCAAGTGGACCATGCCAGTTTGGCCATGTCTCTGGACAGAGTGGCTTATATCTAAATATTGTACACAATAAACACATGAAATACTATAATAATATAATACATGATAATAGCTTAAGTATATTGTTTGAACAGAGAAAGGACTTACCTCTGGAGGAAGGCTTCAAATCGACGTCTGTAGGCAAAGCCAGCTCTCCGGACACGCAGATTCTCCATTAAACCCAAGTATTTCACCTGGTGCCGGATCAGGATCTCATCAAATCTACCTATAAAGGTAACAAAATAAATGTTTGATTTGAATCATAATTGTAATACACAATCACCAAGTAATTCATATTATGCCTTTCACTGATGGTTTTATCTAACTTTATTTAAACAGAATATTAAACAGATAATTGATTAATGCTTATTGCTGTTTTTATTGTTGCAGGTTTTTGTTTTGTTTTAATTAAATTAAAATACCTGGTTGTTTGCAGTCATTTGGCTTAATACAGCGCACATAGGATGGCTCTTTGGACATGAGGATCTCCATTAGTTTCATAAGGCTATTTTTAAACTGTGTTGCGGCCTGTCAACAAGAGAAAGCATTACTCAGGGGATTTCTGTGTGAAAATGCTGAATTTATATATAGTGATTTTAACAGTTCAGTTATACTTCACCATTTCAGGTCGTTTCTGGTCAAAGACTTCCTCTCTTCGGAAACAGTGACTAAGGATCTGGTTGTCTGACTGACACATAACCTAAGGCAAAAAGCACCTCACATGTGAACAACCACAAATGAAAACTTCAAACCTCAATTTTCCCAGTTAAAGAAAAATATTCCTAAATGTTTTAGTTGCTTTACCTCCTTTAAATTCCTGTTTAGTGAATCATTATTTTTATCCAGAAAACCTTAAACAAGAGAAGTTATTATGATGAATATCCTACACAGTTTTTGTATATCATTAGATTCAATAACATACCAGTAACATTGTAGTTCACCTCTCCTGCATAGTGCAACAGTCTAAATTCCTCTCTGTTCATCACTCTGCGTATTTTCCCATTGGCCAACTTGTGACTGTATGTAGATAAATAAGACATGTATAAAATGCAATACTTTTGTATAATCTAATTTTGGTTAAAATACTTACGTGACAAAATGTGGATGACCACCAAGTGAGTCCTCCAGTTTCTCCAAAAATGAAATGTCACATGTTTCCCCAGGTCTCAGACACTCCTCATCCTAAATTACAACAATAAGACAATTTAAAATATGATTTTTTTTTTTTTTAAGTCAAAAGTCTGTACTTTTAAAGTACAGTTAATCATAATTACCAAAATGGAAATGATGCCTTTGTGCTTTTCTTCTATAAGATCACAAATGATCTTGTTGTCAAAATATGTCACTGGTTCCCACTAAAAATAAATACAAATAATTTAAATTTGTTTGTCACTGTCAGAATAAAAATTAAATGGAGTTTAGCTTCACCCTAGTCGAGCAGCAATAACAGATAACAACACTTGGTGTCATCGCAATTACAGGATAGGACAAATTACTTTGACAGTTTGTGGAAAACTTTATTGATGTTTAAATATTGTAGACCTTTTACCAAGATAATGACACATACCGCAATCCCCTCTGTCTCATACTCCTCCTGTTCAGATCTGAGAGTGAGCTCGATAAACAGTTGCTGCAGCTTCTCATTACAGTAGTTGATGCAGAATTGCTCAAAACTGTAAAAAAAAAAAAACAAAAAAAAAAACCATAATAAATTATACCAAAAGACTATGGTAGATTATGGTAATTAAAGGTTCTCCATGTAACTTTTTGGATGGTGTCTGCCATCTGATGGTCTCCAAAGATGTTAATCAATCAATCAACATCCCAAAATAGGAATTGGAACACACTGTAGCAGTAAAATACAATACAGTAAGCGCACACAAAGGTCTCAGTGCAACTCAACAATCAAACTCATCCAGTGTCAGGGCAGTTTGAGTAGCCCTGTGTGTCTTCTGTGTCACATCACAGCAGCCTCAAGGGGGCGCCAGGTGAACTCTGGACACACAACAGGAAAACCTCTCTAAGGCTCTCTCTCACTCTGCCCTGTTGTTTTGGTTGGTGATGAGTCGCCATGGATCCAGGAAAAACAAACTGCTCAAATCACACAATTCAATGGTCCTTAACTTTAGTCCTTTTAACTGCACATGCTGCACTTCTCAGTTGGTCAGCCAGTCAGCCACAAGAGCAGTGAACCACAACCATGGCACCCACAGAAACATTTTTGCCTGAAAGGTTCCATACTTCACAGATCCGATCAGTAACTGTGAAGAGGTGACACTTTTCACATTGTATGAAGTTAATTTTAACCAATTAAATACTCGTTACAATACAAAAGCAAAATAGGTAGAGTTTAATGCCATACTGTGAATATTCCAAGCAAAGCAATAACATCACCATGGAGACAAGCGACAGAACCTCTGCCAGAAAAGTTACATGGTGCACCTTTAAGCTAGAAAATAAAGGATACCTATTGTTCTGCAACACCTCAAAACCATAGATATCAAGTAGTCCTATTACTGTGGATGCTTTGCCGCTCTGATAAATTTCCTCCTGTGTTTAAAGTGATAAATAATTTTATATGAACAAAACCACATCAAAGTACATGCAGTTCACATCTTTTAACTTTACCTTGACAGCTAGTGATTGGTTGATTTTCTGTACCAACCATGTAAAAGTGCGGCCATAAACAGCTTTGGCCAGGGCATCCCGAGCTGAGACAGCCTGCT